ACGGTTTACACTGGCGGGGCACCAGTGGAGGATAATAAAATGAGCATTAAGTCAGGTTAGTTAGCCCATTGTGACAACAGGGAATTTATCAAGATGGTTTCCAGGGAGAACCGCGTGGAGGTCGACCTGACAAGGTATATTGCTAGCAATGGGATCATTAGTCCACATTACTAACAATTCCCTTTCCCCCAATTAACAGCATTTCACAAAATGTGTAAACATCATCATCTGCTAACTAAAGAGCTCGAAGTTTAATACATATTCATGTATCGACGGCCTCGGTGGTCTAGCGGTTTAGCATACCGTTTTACTTCCGAAGGTCGCGGGTTCGATTCCTCGCACGGCACAAATATTTGTATTCATGAGTATGATTGTTTGTATGGATGTTTTCTATGTATATTATTTATATATTTACAACAGAAAAGTATCTAAATACATAGATACTTTTCTTTTGTAAATATATAAATCATAATATAGTATCAGTTGTCCAGTACCCACAACACGAGTTCTGTTTAGCTTGGAACTAGATGGTGCTGTGTGAATTGTACTGAAATATTATTATTATTACGTATATTTTTAGTAATAAATATTAGTAGTATAAGTACAGGAGCCAACAGAATATCAGCGCTGTAGATTTATCTGTAGCATTATGCTCAGTTGGTTGCCTATACACTTCTGCGGCACATAAAGTCACGTCCATTTCTTTTATTTGTTCATGTATTATTCTGTAACTCATGTATATGCGTCTGTAATTGGCGAATAAATAATTTTTTCATGAATTAAATTTGCGAAGACAATAAATACCCATATAATTAATAATAAAGTAAGATATAAAATACATGTAGTACCTATGTAAAATAAAGTAGTTTGTCGGGGAAAATTCAAACAGAACTATATAAAAAAAAAGTAAATTCCACTAATACCTGCCGTCCGGGTTACAACCGTCATAAAAAACAGTACAGGTTGTAAGACGAAGGTAAGTTATTAGTAACTGTACTTATCAATTATTATAAATGCGAAAGTTTGTGAATATGGATGGATGTTTGCTACTCTTTCACGCAAAAACAACTGAACGGATTTTGTTAAAACTTTACAGTGATATAGCTTATCCATCAGAATAACACATAGGCTATAAATGTCACGCGGGTGAAATCGCAGGCACAGCTAGTAAAAAATAAAGTAAAATCTACTAATTCTGTCCAGGTTACATTCGCCATAAAAAAACAATATAAATGGGACGGATTATAAAAAGAAGGTGGAAGGAAACGGTCATCTGTACCTTGCGGTACATGCCGCGTGACGTCACATAATCATAGAGTCATTGACCCCTTCACCTGTTACAAGGGTATAATTTTGATGGCACACAAAAACCAGATTATGAGATGACGCTGGACTGTAATCATGATTGTAGTATTTATTAACATATATGACTATAGAAATGTAACGAGGAAAGAGTAAGGGTAAGTTTTCAATTGAGTGATGAAATAATAAATACCAAGTGTTCAACTCCTTTTACAGAGGGGAAAAGGATTATAGTTTGATGTTTAATTAATGTTTATTTATAAAATACTGGTAATTGCACAGAGCAGATCTTACATAATAATTAGTAAGGCGTTCAGCAATATTTACCATTCAATGTGTGTAAATTATCTTACATTTAAAAGCATTGTTGATTGTTAGTAATATGGACTAAACTTAATATCTGACTGTAATGCAAATAAACGACTTATTTACGTAATTCCTTATATTCCCATTGCTAACGAGTACCTCATGAAAATCATCTTGGTCAATTTCTAGTGATTTCGCCACAATGGGCTAATCGACCTGACCTCATGTTCGTTTTATCACCCTCCACTAGTCCCAGCGAAAATCGCGTAAAACAAAACCTTTTTACTTCCAGAATGTCGTGGAGGCAAGAGGCAACTATGGAAACTTTTATTTAAGCAACTGGAATAGTAAGGCCGACGACGCACCTAATGATGAATGGTAGTGACCTCTTACATACACGAACAGCACTACTTATATCACGTCATCATAATTTGTGAAGATTCTGTAATTTTACTACCATACCTCACTTCAACCAACACAGCTTACAAACTAAGTTAGGTCAGTAAGCACATACTGGCTATTAACCGCAAAATCACGATGGTTCCCGCGTAGAGGTCGACCTAGCATTGTCAGTAATGAGTCTATTACCGCTTTACTGATAATCCCCTCCCCATAATCGTGATAGTTTAAGAAGGATCGCATTAGGGAGGTTAATGTGATAGCAATGGGACCAGAATTTCCCATCATTAACAATCTAATCTCTAACTCTGTTATTTTTTCGTTTTTTGTTAATCGTCATATATATTACTAACTAAATACTTTCATTTCAAAAATGGTATTTATTTTTAACAGATGATAATAGTGAATAATACTCATGGTTTACGTTGGCGAGGCACCCATGGAGGAGAATAAGATGAGCACGTGGCCAGGTCAATTAGCTCATCGCGACAAATTCACCATGAATTTATTATATTTGTTTTTAGGGGGAACCACGGGTCAACCTGACCACCTAACCACAACTGACCATACATTGCCTACAATGGGGCTATTAATCCACATTACTAACACTCCTTTTCACCCATGATAACAGTATTATTATATTAGTATCTAATACCAACATTGCTATTGCTCTATACAACTTGAGTCATTCAAAGTCACTGCGGTCATATAAGGCGGATGTAATACTGTAACTATTTTGGCATGTAAACCTAACTGTAATTCATAACCGACCTAAAAAGTGCATCATAGTTCTGTAGACGCACCGAAGAAGACGTACGAAGTGGACATGATACAGTTACAATATTATACATATATTGACCTAGTTTATTTTTTGCAATGCAATATATCAGCGTTTCTAGAAATTTTATTCAAAACAAGCAACGTAGTAAGCCATTTACTTGTCAAACCAAGTTTTTATTACATATTCATTGTTAAGGCGCCCTGTCTGTGCCCCCGAATTCGTCCGCGTGTAATAGTGACTTTGGACACCATAAAATATTTAATAATCTAACCCAAAAAACCAAATAAAAATTCATCAAAAAAGAGTTTCATTGTTCTATGTAGCTTCAATAATTACAAATTTCCATTCAAATTTTCGTCCTCTATTTTAATTTTCCTTAATGCAAATTTTTTTTAAAACTGAATCTCATATTTATTTATATTTAACCAACAGCCTAAAAAACTTAGGTTAGGTTATGTTATAAGCTTCCAGCTTTAACAATAGTGATATTTCCATAGAACCTTTCATGTCTCCTTTCAACCCCTTACAATCCTTTTTCACATTAAAACGTAGCTTCTATCCTTTCTCAGGGACCATTAGACTATCTATGTACCAAATTTCATTTAAATCGGTTCAGTAGTGTTGCCGTGAGACAGACAGACAGAGTTACTTTCGCATTTATAATGTTAGTAAGGATTATTACACTATATTATAGAAATCAGTGACTAATTCCATACATTATCATAATTCATGCTAAGCCTTATCTGCATAGGTATTTCAGAATTATCGAAATCTATTTAGAGGGCTTAAATTTCAATGATAATCGATTTATACTTTTAATACAGCTGATTCAAACTCAAATAATACAACAATGATATAGAAATCAAAGTAAGTATCTATTTTACTTAGTAAATTTCTATTCAATATTATTCGAATATAGGTAGAGGCATAGTTTATCGATATATGTATATGTTATGATATATATATATATATGTTATAAATTACCCTACAGTTTCAGCATCGCAAAAATACTGTAAAATTAAGGGCATAACTCTTAAATATGAATTCGATTAATAAAGATGAAAATTGGTTTCTAACTGAATTGTAATTGTTATGAGTATATACGACCTACTTATTTAATGGTGAATTAATATATGGTTTTAATGTCAAATACCGTCGTAATAAATTATTAAAAGCAATACAATTGTTCTGCTGCAAACGACCTTATTATTTATTGGTCATATCAGATACATATCATCTCAATACAAAAGAAACCACCTACAACAGTAATTGTAATTTGTACTTGTTACTAATTCAACTTATTTTTCTGAAATAAAAGTAGCCTAAGTTATTCCTTATTACATCAGCTATCTGCCAAAAAAAGTCACTTCGAAATCAGTTCAGCCATTTGAGATTAGCCGGAACAAACAGACAGGCAGACAAAAATTGTAAAAAATGTTTTTTTGGTGTATGTACCGTATTTATATTCATATGCATGTAGTAAAAAACGGTTATTTCAATATTATAAACAGACACTCCCATTTTATTTATATGTATAGATTTAATATAATACCACAAAATAGTATAGGAGTATATTATTAATTAGGAAAAAAAATCTGCTATCGAGTTATAAAACACAAAAATACAGAGTTGACTTGTGCTTCATTTCTTTTTGAAGTATAAAAAATATTGATATTAGAGGTAAAAAAGACCGTAACTTTATTTACATATTAATTATTAGCAAACAGAATTTATTTATTTATCGTTTATACACATGGGGAACATGTCTTTTGAAGATAGGTTTCATATTAAAAATGCTACTCAACATGAAAAATAAATATTTATATGTTCATTATTATCTATATATCGTCCATTAATTATTTAAGTATTATTTTATTAATATTTTTATAAATTTACGGTTTTTGTCCTGTGTCGTCGGTAATAGGAGTAAATATACGGACAGAAAGTGATACCCGTTGGAGATAACTTCAAGTCATAAACATATTATAAATAAATTACGTAAGAATAAATACCATTTAATATGAAACTATTGTTACATAAATTATATTTTAGTTCTTTTAAAAATAAAATGTTCATTTTTTAATTGAGATAGTTACACGAAGAATATTATTAAATTAAAATTTATAATACATAATAAATAATTAACATAAAATATAATTACCTACAATAATTAAAAATAGCGTTAGCGCTAATTAATAAAAATCAAACTTACCCGCAATATCTTTATTTTTCTTTCGTATTTAAAACAAAATCCTTATCAACACAACTGAACAGTCTCAAAATTTATCGAAGTATATGTATTTTAATTTAATCTATAAATTTATATCTATTTACGATAAATGTAGAACACATAGTACGACTATGAATCAACTCGCTCACCGGCACCGGTAAATCGAGACAACCACGTAACCATACGAATTCTTGAGTGTTGCCATTAACAAAAATATAAAGTTTTCTCTTCTTGAAACACCGAATGATTATTAGTAGCAGAAACGATTATTTTCTTAGAATTGTTCCAAATTCAAAATTTTAATAACACTGTCGCACGCGCAAGCCCATATCGCGTTGAATTCCTTTTTTCTTCTAAGCTAAACGGTGCTAGTGTTGACGTCAGTCCCGTTTTTGCCGCTATCTCTCTCACGCACATAGAAATCTGAGTGCATTCGTCCTTGACTCTGAACACCCAGTCAAGAAAACGATGATGTACCGTTGTTATTTCTTGTCTCATGTGGCTATTGCGTAATATAGTTCGATTGAGTGAGATAGATATAAAATTACCAGTTAGGTGTGAAATCTGACTGTCAATGACCGAAGGCTCGAAGGATTGAAATAAGAAAACATTGAACTGCTAAAGGTTTTACTGTTATGTTAGTCCTTTGACCCGATAACCAAGTTTTGGTCAAGTGTTTTCGACTCCTGTTTTAGGAGGTTCATATTTTAGAAATCGAAACAATCTTTATTCAATATAAATGCTGTTTTTACTATTTGGACTTTTTTTTTTAAATTTGCCTGCGGTTTTATTTTTTAGCAAATGTTATTAGTTTAAAATATGATATAAAAATGTACTGCTTACTGCGCCATATAAGTCGCTATGTTTTGATGTAATTGCGTTTAGGATGTCATCGAGTCGACAGAAGAAGAATTACATAAGAAAAATTAATTATTTAGTAAAAAAAAACTAATTAAATTGGAACGTTATTTAGCGATAAGGCCGCTCATTATTAGCTTTGTCTTGCAGATAGTAATAATATGTTTTTATCTATTTGTACATTTTAGTTAACGTAACTGTATTTTCGGTAGGAGAACGAGTTTATTTATTTGAATTGTAAATATTTTGTTTATAGTGAAATGTGGACATGTTAAGTGTTGCGTTTACCACAATATCAAGAGTTGATAATACCTCTGACTACCCTATTCGACATAACAGTCATAACTGTATTTTTATTTTATATTTCTAACATCCATTATTATTTTATTTACAAACTGGCTAATCCCGTGTCTTCGTACATGTATATTTTGTTTGTAAAGGAAATTACAAAATCTATTGGAAAATTACAAAGTAACTAAATTGAAGCTTACTGTAACACAATAGTGCTAACCACATCCAAATCGGTTTAGCCCTTTCTGATATTAAGGCGCACAAACTTACAGACAAACAAACAAAATATGTAACAATCATTGTTTTGAGTTCTGTTACATTGATAAAATCAATAAATAATAGTTTTTCTCATATATTGCCCATTTAGATTCAGTTAATTATGTATAGAGTAATGCGTCCTATTTTTTTTTTATACCAGTTGTACAACCACCATAGAAATTATACTTTATGAATATAAATGTTTGCATCGTGCTAGTAACGGAACCCGCTACCATCGGAAGTCAGACAGTGCGCTAAACTGCTACACCAACGAGGCTATATCATAGTTGAGTTTACTATGCTATAATTTACAAACAAAATTAGTTAACCAGTACTATATAAAATTTTTCTTTATCTGAGCTTGTGTTTGGTTTGTTTATTAAAACAAGTGTAAACTGTAAACTACTTAATGCTCAGTTTCTTATAAGTTTTCTTAGTCTACACACGAAGAAATGGTGCACTGGGTTTCACTGAATATATTGTGTTTCATAATAATAAATTTTAGTTTTTATCAAGAGCACACTAAGGTACAATTTATAAGTTACGGCACATCGCGTTAATTCGAGTAAAAAATATTTATCATATCGAACACTTAAAACTAAGTAATAGTTTACCTTAATAATTACATATTTTAGAAAATACACTCTAAAGTTTTTACATTAAAGTCTATTTCTAAATTTGAGTTAAGTAAGCGATATGTTCTACTTAGGTATATTTTTTTATTTGAGTCCGTCTAGTAGTTTTTGCTTTAAGGAGTAACAAATATTCATATCCATATTAGATTGAAATAAACGAACAAAATTACCCTTTACTCAAATTATTTGTTGATTCCTATTCTATTTATTACTTATTTTTGTTAATCTGTATATTTATCTTTAATTTTATTATTCAATTACGTATCAATTTCGAATCTTGGTAGTAGTTAAAATTTTTGACTTTGTACATAGTACCTTTGTTAAAAAGATACTTATTATAATATAATATATTATATATTTGAATTATATCGGACAGTATGTTATAATTGTGACTATTGTTTCAACTTTAGTTGAATGAAAGCTAACCTAACCAAGCCTGTGTTTTTCCTGTTTTTCAATATTCAAAATCAAAATTATTCAATGATATGTGTCATTTCCCAACACTTATACAACAATAAAAGGCACTCGTAATTTTCGGCCAATATTCAACATTTATTTACGACTAGCTGTACTCGCGACTTCGTCCACGTGGAATTTAACTGTATTTTTCTCAAATAAAAGTAGCCTAAGTTACTCCTTATTACATCAGCTACCTGCCAAAAAAAGTCCCCTTCGAAATCGGTCCAGCCATTTCAGATATTAACCGGAATAAATAGACATACAGACAGAAAAACAAAAATTGAAAAAAAAAATGTTATTTTGATGTATGTACCGTATTTATATTCATATGCATGTAGTAAAAAACGGTTATTTTAATATTACAAACAGACACTCTAATTTTATTTATATGTATAGATTCAAATCACTACTTCAGCTTCAATACATTTATGACTTTTTTTATGCCAACATGATGACAAACAATATATATTTTTTCTAACACTTTCTTTCTTGAAATATTGCCAGTGATTCAGTAACTGTCATACCTCTGCAGAAAGAAATGAATCGATTTACGCTTGATCAACATTGGGAAATATTGAAAACTTATATCCAAAGTGCTATGTAGCCCCAATGGTATGAGTTATGGAAAGAAGTTTTTGCTCGAAAATTCTTTATTCTTACGAGATCGGTTATTTTGTATCAGGTGTTTAGAAAACAAAAAAAAATGTTATTCTTAAAGACTTCCGTGTATTTATAATAAAATAGTATATATATAATAAATTTAATCGTAATTATATATATTTTTAATAATTGATATATATATACATATAATCTATACATCTGTACATATAAATAAAATTGGAGTGTCTGTTTGTAACATTGAGATAACTGTCTTTTACTACATGCATATGAATATAAATACTGTACATATACCAAATAACCACTTTTTACAATTTTTGTCTGTCTGTCTGTTTGTTCTGGGTAATCTCTGAAATGGCTGGACCGATTTTGACGGGACTTTTATTGGCAGGTAGCTGATGTAATAGGGAATAAATTAAGCTACTTTTATTTTAGAAAAATAATGTTAAGTTCTACGCGGACAAAGCCGCGGGTGCAGCTATCAATATAACACAAGTGTAAAAAAACAAAAAAGACAAACGTACAGTCTTTCGAACACAACGTTCTCTATTTGAAAATTATGAAATAAATCACTAAAATTAAAGATAATATATATTATTTTTCGTCTGCAACAGGTATAATTCTAGTCTTTTGGAATTAAACGGGAACACGGAAAATAATTGGCGAAGACGCGGTTAATAGCTACCTAGTTAGATATTTATAATTGCAAAGTCATTTCAATTAGTAAAATCCATTAGCGGCTCAAGGCAGAAATGCCGAAAGCTCTACTAAACGCGAACTCTAAAATGAAAGGCAATACAGCCTTTTATGAGACTGTTTTAATCTATTAACATGTTATTCTGTGTTAAGTTTATTAAAAAAACAATATTAATGTATAATACACCTAATAGATATCTTACATAGAACATAATATAAACTGAATGTTCTAGGGGACACCGTTTTTAAGAAAATGTTTTTAATTCCCTAATAAGTAATTCGGTGTTAAGTTTATTAAAAACAATATTAATGTAATCAATAATACACCTAATATACTTCTTAGATAGAACATGATTTAAACTGAATGTTCTAGAAGGTGTTAATGTGTTAACAAGTTTGAAATTGGAATTGTAAACAAGCTGATGGTAAGTGGTAACCGTCGCTTGTATGAGCAGCACAACTGCCATCACAGGATACCTCTAATTCATTGCTATTTCGAGAGACCAAGATATTATTATTAATAATAACTGTAATTTCATTATACAAAATATATTTGTATCCGGCCACCTTGTATGAAAACAAGGTATCTTAATTTTTTTTTATACTGCGATGGCGGCAAACAAGTATACGGCCCATATGATGGTAAACGGTTACCGCAGCCTAAGTACAGGTCAGGTCAGGGGTGCCACGTGCACGTTGCCGACCCTTAAGAAACCTTAATATAACCTTCATGAAAAACCCCGATTTGTAGTTTCTCGAGAAAATAGTTGTGGTGTAGTAGTAAGTAAGGCGTGTAGTAATCTAAGTGTAAATATTGCACATGCCGTGTACTCTGTTTGAAAACTTTAATTATATTCATATTATTATTTTAAATATTTAACTAATAAACTGCTAGTATATATAATCTGAAAGTTGTTTTAAAATAAATATATTCATCAATAGTCAAATTTACAGTCCTACATCAATTTGAAATATAAATTTGTTATAACTTTTTGTAGAGATTTAACGTAGTTTTTCCAATATTTGCTTTTTAAATATCAAAAATATATTAGTTTATTTAATTTGCATCGGCTACAAGGCAGTAATAAAATTTAATTGATTTAATATTAAGAGGACGCTGAGTTCTTATTTAATTAGTTTATATTTATTATTTTTTTATTTCAGGTTGAAGGAAGACAAAACAGCGATTGGCAGAACAGTTTTGATAGGTCTGCGGCTGAGGTGGGTATTACCATTTGTAAATGTATAATTAACAGCTTCACGACTATTATCCCAGATGTGGTAGGCATAGGCATTACCATTTCTGACATTGTCGTCGTCGTGACGAATCCAGTATTCTGACTAAGCCAAAATTTCAAATTAGTAGATCAGAATGAAATAATTTCTGCCATATGTCAAAGTAACAAAAAGTGTTAATTATTATTTCTTTCTACTATATTTTGGGCCATCACATTTATAATTATTTAGGGATATACTGGGGGAAAGGGATTGTTATTAATTGTAATGTAGACTAAAGACCCCATAGCTAGCAAGTTAC